TACAGGATACATTGATGTATTGGCAGATTAAACAAAACAAAGCAAAATGCTACGACACATTACATATGAGATGAGTAATCCTTTGCTCAGTGATGTTGCTGGACAGGCTAAATCAGCATCAAGCATGGGGCTTTCTTGTCCTTGTCTACGGTTGATCGACGTCTTTGATCTCAGTCAGTTCCCACTGTATTCCTAATGTCGGTCACCTCCTTTTCTTTTTCCACTCTTAGTTACTTTCCAGTTGTAGTTCGTAGTAACCAAGCAACACTAATCATTCGCTCAAGATCTGTGAAGCAACTGAGTTGTATATAGCTCTGGGAACAAATGGGGATTTTAAAGCATACTTACAGCACTAGTATCCAAGTAACTATTTTCAGTAGCAATAACGAGCTGTAATTTGCATCAACACAAATACGCTGATGGTAGCAAAGGTGAAAGCTGTAGTAGACAGATCTTGGGTATCAGTAGCTTTGAGCAGGTTAAGACACCATAGTACTAAAGATGAACCATCTTTATGATATGCCACTTTCTTTCTATGTCACCACCATAGAGAATTACAGTTCCTAGATATCCAACATAGACATAACTTGTGCAAGGAAGCATGAGCAGAAATACCAGGTTTGTGAGGAACAGAAAGTAGAATTAATTCCTAAAATGGCCCTGGTATCCAAGATTGAATACAATCACAAGAAAGAGCTACTGAGAATCTACTGACTCAAAAAAGGTGTTCCATCAGCCAAAAGCATTGTAATTTTGTAGGGAAATGAAGTAGACACCTAAGGACCTGAATGAGAACATAGCATCTGAATGAGAACACCAAGTAATCTGGACAAACTAGATAGTGTTGCCTTTTACCCCAGTGCACTGTTGCTACAGACAAAGTGTAAGAATCTATGCAGAAAGATTAAAATGGTCAAACAGTGCATTCCTTTTCTTTCCCTTCTCTGCCTATTGTATTTGTAATACAGATTTTTTTTTTTTTTGTAGGAGAAAGGAAAAGAGATTCTGGAACGGATAAGGAAGCTGGAGAAAGAGAAAATAAGTGAGATGGAATTGATCCTGCAGAACAAATACCTTGATGTTAACCAAGCCGTGCACCTTTTTTCAGAGTGTGTAGAAGAAGAAATTGGTGCATATGCCTAAGGGTACAACTCAAATGCAGCAAAATTCAGCATCAGCAATCAGCCTTTGTAGGCTCTGTGGATTAAATCTTACTTTTCAAAAGCCAGTTCCCATTAAGAGTTATATATTTTGCACATATTGTAAAAGAGCTTTAGGTTTGAAGGAACAGACTAAAAAGTCTTTCAAAAGTAGGGAATAGGTTTGCATGTAAATGACACATGATTGTAGGCTGGCAGCTGAGGGAGCACTAAATAGAGACAACTAACTTTACTACTAGAAATATTAAGATGGAGATCTTCATTCTATATACAGTTCTGATTTGGACAACGTTTTCTGCGCATGCAGATTTTATAAGCCGACTCAATACTCACCTGGATCTTAGGAACAGGATTTCATTGCATCTCTATTAAAACAGCTGAGTCTGAGGACTCCTTATAATACACATTACCAATATGTATCAGTTTCCTTTTGAGATTCTGCATAAAACAAGTAAATCATTTAACCTAAATTAAACTTTCAAGTGTGCAACTACCACTCTACACCAAAATATTTTAGCTGTCATTAAGTTTATATAGCTAGTGTATATCTGAATGGACTAAAGATAAATCCTCCTCTAATAGGACATCTGGGTAACAGTCATGTTGCCAGTTTCACAATTATAAATAACAAATGCATCTTTTAACAAAAAATGCAAAGAGTATCCCTTAGGTAAGTTGTTTTAACAAATCTCTACAATAAGGTGTCTTGAAATTTGATAGATTATATACTTAGTAAGTAGCTAGTATTCTAGGGGTACAAAATATCCTGCCAGTTACAGTAAAACATTAAAGTTGGCATTTCCCCTATGTTTTGATTTGCTAACCCTCACCTGAAAAATAAATTATCTTCGATTTCATGTACTGTTTTCAGAGTTGTATGCTTCAATTAATTCTGCTAATGCACTTTAGAATACAACTCTGGATTGTTTTGTAAAGAGTAATGAATTTTTACACGTTTAAACACACAAGTACAATGAAAACTAGTGCCAGGTATTTAAAGGTATAGAGTACGTGTACAGTAATACCATGGCAGTTTAAAAATTAACTTTCTAAACTTTTCCACTTAATCTAAAGTATAAAAGTTTTAATCCATAATTTATCTTGCCAAAGTTACCAATCTAATCATGCCTTGCTCCTTCCCCACTCTTTCTCTTTGATCCTTTTGTAACGTAACAATGAATTTATGACATGATCTAAATATCTGTGGTAAACAAGAACCTGAAGAACAGAGTATATAAAAATAATTTATGAGATGATAGAGACTGTAAATGAGTATCACAGAATGTGGAAGAGGTACCTTCTATACAAAAATGGTTTGAAGATTTTTAAAAACTTTTTTTTAAACTCAAATTTTTCCCTAGGGAAAAACCTTATAGTTAATTGGATAGACAGACAGAAGCCAAGCGATATTTGAGCTGGGAAGCTTCACACAGGTTAACATTGTATTGAGACATATTGGCATCTGATTATTTTGCTTATTTTTCGTTTAGTGAAAATGTGAAATAGTGTAAAAAAAAAAAAAAAAAAATCTAGTCTCTGATACAGAGATAGTACCTGCTAGCAAAGCTATGAAAACCTCAAACAGGAAACCATAGCACCCTACAGCTAATATGAAAACCGTCTCCTGTGAAGAGAATCTCTTGAGCCATTCTCAGGCAAGTGAACCCTTTCATAGATTTGGAAGTGACAGTTAGCATACTTCTATTGTATTCAGTAGAAGGTCTAAAATTATAACCAAGATTATGGCCATGGTAAATGTTCCATAAAGCCTTAGAACAGTTAATGCAGATGCTTCTCTTTCCATAATGGTTACGGCAGATTTAGAATGTATACAGTGCCCTAGAAATAAGGCCACCTGTTCTACCTATTTCTTTATATTTAATCACACACTGGTCGTATTAGCAGAATGGCATACTTGTATGCATCATCTTACCTCTGCTATCCTCTTCTGTGTCTTTATATATCCAATGACTTTCCAAGTTCTCCACTTCTTGCATGAAAAATTATCAGTGTTCTGTTATACGAAAAAGCTTATATAGACCTCAGTTACTTCTGATATGACTATTTCCTTCCAGTACCTTTGTATTTTAAGGTTACTTACAAGGTACTGTATACAGATAAACGGGGGG